GTATCACATTAATAAACCATGGTGTCCTGTAAACTACACACAAAACTCACTTATTAATATGCCCCTTGACCGTTGATGATACGGTCTATAAGGTGATGCCATGGAGCCAGTGACGTGCCGGGTGCGAGTTGTCTGCAGTTGGTCCCTTTCTTTCTACAAAATACTGCGACCTGATCTGTACTTTAAATATGTCCGCACTTAGTCCTTTTAATCTAATCAAGCCCAACTTCTCTTTCTTCACTTCACTTCTCTCGCCAGTCGTGTCCGTCATCCACGGTCATTTTCCTGGTTTTCTCGCTTAACTTTAACTGCAATGCACCCTACGACACAACATTAGCAATTCGCCATTGCGTTGCTCTATCTCAAATTACATGACAACGCCAAATTTTACTCAATGCAATCCTATAACATAGACTTGTGCTCGACCGCAAGAGAAGTTTCAATGGCAGATTTTAACCCCACCTCTCGTGAAATCTCGCTCCAATCCAGGTCTCGTTTGACATCATCTGCTGTGCAGATGTTCAAAATAGGCTATTCCGGACAGTCCCTATTTAAGCATTACACTTGCCATAGAAATTAAAAAGACTAGCCATCCACTTTTGTTCTAGGTTACAAACCACTATAAAAAGTCCCATTAATTTCCATTGTAACGTTTAATTCCATAAAAAATACTTTCCATGCTTCAACAATCACCATACTTTAAGGTTACACTGAAATCCGTTTGAGTACCAGTTGGTATTTTTTGATAGGGGCGATTGAATTTTCTTCGGAAATACATATGTCTACGCCTCTGTCCTAACAGCATTCCTTTACTTAAGCAGTATTTTTTTTTTTGCCCTCTCGCACCAATTTCGGGGTCCCTAGAGGATGTCATCCATAAAAATAAAAAAGTGTGGCCTAATAAATGATCGCAATTTGCATAGATCTATACATAAACATGATGAACAATGGAATGAACAATACAATTTTTAATTTGAACGTATGACACGTATAAATGTATGTCTCTTGCTATTCATGTTCTGACCAAAAAATGAATTTTTCCTGGAGTAAACAACAATTTTCCAACACTTACCAATGGTTAATGAAGAATCCATTTTTACAAGTTAGTCCCTGTTTTTTTTCTAAAAAGTCATTTCATACATAGAGTATAGCCATCAATGGAGGTTACGTGGTCTTTCAGAATAATAGCTATAACTGCCATTTTTGTGGTAAAACAGAATAAATTATATTTCTATGAGTTGTTCACAATGTTTTTATTGTGAAATATAGATCTTATACAAAGAGTTATTATCCCTTTAAGATTTGTGTTTCTGTATGCCAATATCCTAAACAAATGATTCATATGAAAAATAAATCCAGTTTAGGGCTCAAAATAACAATTATGTCAAAAAATATGGCCTCAAAGTTTATAATGACTGTCAGTATATATAACCAAAAGATTTTTAAGATGGTTTGTTTTGTTTATTGACTCTACAGGGTTAATACTTAATATGGAATATTTTTTATCATTGTTATTCCTGAGCGCATATTAAATTTTTTTGGGCTTTATTCATCAAAATAGTATGTCATTGAGTGATAAAAATGTCCAGTCTTCTATTGTGAGATATTCTGGCCAATAATATCAAATCTGACATCAGATGTCATACATAGATCTATACATAGATCACTCAAAAGAAAAGAACACACCCAGAAAACCACATCACCAGTTTGATGTCAGTATTAACTATAAGCTAATTATAAGATATTAAAGAAAATGATAGCCAACGGACAGTGATATGTTATGAAGTCAAAGAACTCATTACAGTAAATCATGAAAAGTAATCATGTAATAGCGGGTATGACCTCCAGCAGCCACTTGCAGCGCCCTCACCCTACATGGCATACCCTGTGACAAGTTTTTCAGAGTTTGGATGGGGATATCATTCCACACAGTGATATTTGCCTGTCGTAGTTCATCACGATTTACCGGCCAATGACCATAGCTATTAATTCTGTGAGTTACTTCTGCCCACAGATTTTCAATTGAGTTCATATCTGGGGAGTTTGCAGGCCAGGACAGTTGCTGAACCCAATGGTTTTGAAGAAAAACAGTGATTCTGCGAGCTTGATGTGGGGGTGCGTAGTTGTCTTGGTACAAAAAGTTGTTCCTGAAGATGACTCTTACAAAGGGAAGCATTGTTTGCTATAGAATGTCTCTGTAGGAATCCTGGTTGAGGTTGCCTTCTAGAAAAACCATCTGGTTCTGGGCACCAGCATGAAATGCTCTCCAAACAGAGACGTTATCAACCCCCTGCTTGCACCCTAGGCAGTACACAATCATCATCATTTTATGTCTTTCGCACACGTTGGCGGACACGGATATGGGCATCAACGCTAAAAACTCCATATCTGGCCTCATCACTGAAAATTATATGATTCCAGTGATTTGGCTGCAAAAGCACGTGGTCCCCAGCCCATACTGCAGATCTTCAAAATGTGCCCCCTTAGTATAAGGAGTATTTAAAAGCACACACAGGGAAGGTTGCCTGCAGCTGGCCTTTGTTTCCCAGGGTAGTAACTAGTCATGTGAAAAACAATTTTGTCCTATCAGCTCTAAGTAACTAGGCCACGTGAAAAACATCCGGTAGTGTGACCAATGGTCACTCAGCTTTATTTCATAGGCCTATTAATTTTCACTCCTGGGGAAGTCTTTGTTTAGCGCCGCCAGCTGTAATATGCGTAATATTTTGCGTTAGTACACCAACTTTGCTAGCTTAAGCCAATTTCGCTTTGCTCTCCCACCCACCCTTCCCTTTCCATATTCGGGACTTTTTATTATCTTAACTCGGTTGCAAGTGGTGGGATTTTTCATTATCTGTTGCAGAAATGGTTGAATTTATTTATGATCCAATTAATTACTATTTAGTTTGTCTGTTCTCCTTATAGTGTTCTAGATTTGGGGAAATATGGTCATTTTGCCCGACTCTGTGTGTGTTTTTAAAACCAGCTTGCAGTTATCTCTTGTTCTCAAAGGACCTTGAACTGGGTGTTTGAACGACATTCTGCCACTTTTTTCTGAGGACACTGCATGGTTGTCTTTGTATGACCAGCACGGCACACTCTAAGGAGAAGGCCATCATGTCTTCTTGTTGTGATACGTGGACAACCTGTTCGAGATATTGGAGTAGGTGCCCCTGTTATAGCATTTCTTTGGAGGACTTTACTAACGGTTACTGATAAATGTTGAATTGCCTAGCAATTGCAGTCGTCCATGTCTGGTCATTTTCTCTGAGAGCAAGAATCGCATAGTAAGCTGCGTTGCTTAGCTGTCAAACCATATCTTCTCTAAGGTACCTGTCAAGTTTCAGAACGATCCCTTTGTTGTTTCAAATACACTGCAAAGATTGACCAAACCATTATGTGTTTTTATACAAGGGCAGAAATTGCCGAAAAGACCACCCCTAACATTTCTGACAACAGAACATGTAACTGCATGCATCAATTGTTTTGAGAGTCATGTGGTAATTAGGTAATACACCTGGCTACACATGGAGTGACACTTCAGTTTTGGATTTAAAATAGCTGAAGAGAAAATAAATATTTTGAAGAAAATTTACACACCCAAAAATAATATCCCATAATAAGTATAAACCCTGTATAATTTAAAGTGAAAAACTTGCAGAAATAAGAAAAATTAGAAGTGGTAATATATACTGATGTAATTTAAACCTTGAAGTTTTCTGAAACATGTCAATCTCAATAAAAAGAACGTGAATTTTTAAAGCTAAATTTTATATAAATAGATAGATAAATATATTTATTATTAATTTTACCCCCCCTCCCTGAAGGAATTGGTTGGACTCCCTGTAAATGAGGGCCCCGATTGCAAATTAACATTTTGAACTCCCTGTACCCAAAATCCTGCGGGAATCCCTGTTGGCCCTTGACAGTATCTCCTTCAGACTGAGCTTGCGTTAAAAAGAGAACTTACATAACGGTCAGTCTTATCAATGACACTTTTTCAAAGATTCTTAGTATAACTGTACCTTACTAGTACACCTTGTAACTAATAAAAGAGTTAATACATATTATATGGCAGATTATCAGTTCAAAACATAATTTTATTGCTTTTTTTAAAACCTTTTTGGATATGTTTTAGCGTTCATTTGAAATGTGGGATATCATGCACTTTGAACCCGACTCTTTGCAAGTTGACATAATTACCTATTTATAATATAATACTCTAATATAATTTAAATTATTGACGGCCATCTCGAATTTTGAAAATTGATCAATGTTCCAGACTTCCAGATATATAGCCACTGGCAAAAAAATACCAAATTAAATTGGCTTTTATAGCCCCAAAGAATTCAATTCTAAAAGAAAATTCTTAAAAAAATTATAGAAGTATTTGACTATGGGACCCGTTGAAGTGGCAAATAGACTCTTGGGGGTTGATATTCTCAACCACCTGTTATTAAACTGTCAGATAAGCATATTCTAACAGTTTTGGGTCATGACTAACAAAATATGATAATGAACATAAACATAAAAAGCAGATATGCTTTTAATAAGATTAAATTTACAAAAACGAACTAATTTTGCAGCTTTTATCACTTTCTGACATATGTTTTGACGGCCTTTTTTCTTATTTGCTAAATGTTATGCACTTAAGTGTATTCAATGGTCCTGCTGTTGTCTTCTGATAAGATTAACGTTGAAAGAAGCTCTCAATATAGTATCCCCGCCGAATACTAGTTGTTTTGCTTTTTTCATCATATATTGACGGCTATATTGAAAAATGCTCAATATCTTGAACATAGCAACCAAGCTAATTTTGCTTCTCTTGGCCTGAAGAATGCGTTTCAGCAAAAAAAGTTTATAGGAAAGAACATATTGCAGGGTTTGACTATTGGGCCTATGGAATGGTATGTGACTCGATTAATATATAGTGGTGGTGTTAAAAAGGGGGATTGAAGAGAATCACATCACCAGTATAGAAATATGTTTGTTGCACCGACCTGTTCTGAGGCTGCAACACTGTAGATCTTGATGGTGATGATGAGTTTAGCTGTCCTCAGGGTGATGATAATCCAAGAGACATACCTTCATCTTCTCTAAAATCAGAGAACATATTTTCAATAAAGAATATATGCAGCCACATATAGTAGTTACAACACAGACATTACACAGTGATAAAAAAATATTATTATATTATAATAAACACATACAGCGACAAAACAGACATACACAGTAATCAGAATATATACAGACATATAGTGTCATAACAGACAGTGCACAAGTATCAAAAGGTATACATAGAAATTTGCCCATATAGCAATTTGAAAGACTGACAGAGTTTTTGCTCAACCCCCCCCCCCAGACTTCACATTAACCCTCACAACTGACAGTGCACTGCAGGTATGAAAATGAGATTTTTGCTCAGCAGCCCCCACCCCACCTTGAGTTCCTATGTACCATGGCCCATAGGAGCCTACGCGTGCGTCTTTTAGACGCCCCTTTACATGCGAAAACGACAAGGCCTAAGCCGAGTTCGTCTTTTACTACAGAGCTTTGAGAGCCGAAAATGGCATGGCTGTGTCTCTTTCGCCACTTACTGAACTCCACAGATGCGAGATTGACACGACCCATGTCGCGTTCTTCTCTCAAATGACACTGTTATAAAACATGAAATAGGCATAACGTGTGATTTTCGCAGCTGAATAAATAGACCCTTATAAACGAAGTTGACGTAACTTGAGAGTCATGTTGCTTTCAACTCTTACAAACCTCCAACAAAATCTATCTCCACACAGACGCGCGCGACATGTACTATTGGACATGGGTCAGTTGAAACCCTATTAACCTAAAGGGCTCATGTTACTTTCAGCCAACTCTTATATGTCAAATCCAATTAATTTGAAACAGTGTTGTGCTGTCCCAAAACATTTTTTTCATTTGAATCCCATCATAATTTAGTGCTATCTAGATAACAGTGTGGCTAATTGCTTGTAATAATTATATGGCCTCATATTTTTATTTTCAAGGATTCAAATATAAAGGGTTTTAAGACGGTCCTTCTGTTTCAAATTAATTGGCTGAAAGTAACATGAGCCATTTAGGTTAATGTCGCTTTCAACTGACCCATGTCCAATAGTACATGTCGCGCGCGTCTGTGTGGAGATAGATTTTGTTGGAGGTTTGTAAAAGTTGAAAGCGACATGACTCTAAGGTCACGTCAACTTCGTTTATAAGGGTCTACTTATTCAGCTGCGAAAATCACACGTAATGCCTATTTCATGTTTTATAACAGTGTCTTTTGAGAGACAAACGCGACATGGGTCGTGTTAATCTCGCATCTCTGGAGTTCAGTAAGTGGCGAAAGAGACACAGCCATGCCATTTTCGGCTCTCAAAGCTCTGTAGTAAAAGACGAACTCGGCTTAGGCCTTGTCGTTTTCGCATGTAAAGGGGCATCTAAAAGACGCACGCGTAGGCTCCTATGGGCCATGGTACCTATGAACCCTTTTCACTTTGAACAAATATAAAAGTGAGTGGGTCTAATTAATTGACCATTTTACAAAATGATACTATTCCAGGTACTATACATGCATATAGTGGTGGTGTTCACAAAGTGATTGAAGAGCTAGAACACCAGTTTTATGCAATATATCATTATTGCACTGACCTCTCTTAAGGCAGCCAGGTTGTTGATCTTGATGTCGATGAGGAATTTGGCTCTCCTCAGCAGTGTGATAAAAATGGAGACATGCACACATTCATCAATACTGAAATAAGAGACATCTTCAAGAAAGAATATTAGCAGATTTATAATTATAACACAGACATAGTACACACTGAGATCAGAACAGAAATAAATGTGTACAGGGACAAAACAGACACACACAATGGTCAGAATATATATACAGACACATACATTGTCACAACAGACAGTGCACATGGTATATCAAAAGGTATCAAAAGGTATATATGAAATTTTGTCCATATGGCAATTTGAAAAACTGGCAGATTTTTGCTCAGACCCCCAAGAGTTCACATTAACCCTTTTCACTTTGAACATATATCAAACTGATCAAGTGGGATCTTTAGTGACCCTTTTACAAGATGTCAATATTCAAGATAGTATAAATAGTGGTGGTGGTGGTAAAAAAAGGAAACTGAAGAGAATCACCAGTATAGTAATATCATTGTTGCACTGACCTGTGCTGAGGCTGCGACATTGTAGTTCTTGATGTTGATCCAGGGCCGTAGCCTGAGCAAAATGCCAGGGGGGGCAGTAAGCGGACACGAGGGGGCGAAGCCCCCGAGGGGGGAGGGGGTGTCCCCCTCCCACGGTGTGGAAAATTTTTAAAAAAGTATGTATAATACTGCATTCTAGTGCATTTTAACTGTTTTTTATTGCTCAATCAGAAGTCAGAAATTGTGGGTTCATTTTGCCATAAGTACAGTCATTTTTTCAACACAACACGCCAATTGGCCTGGGGGATAGCTCCTTTGTAAACATATTGTTGAATGATTGTCTAGTGGCCATGAGTGCATTTTCTCACAGAATTGATACTAACTTTGCAATTTTTTTTTACCTTTGCGATTATTATTATTATTATTATTTTTTTTGTACCTCAAATCCCAGGGGGGGCAGCTGCTACGGCCCTGTGATCAGATGAGTTTATAGCTGTCCTCAGTGTGATGATAATACAGGAAACACACCTTCATCTCCACTGAAAACTAATAACACATCACCAATAAAGAACATATATACAGACACATACAGTAGTTACAACACAGATATAACACAGTGATCAAAATATATATTATTATATTATAATAAACACATAAACAGCAGCAAAACAGACATACACAGTAATCAGAATATATATACAGATACATACAGTGTCCCAACAGACAGTGCACAGGCATAACAATGTAACAATGAAATTTTGTTTATATAAAGATTTGAAAGACTGACAGAGATATTTGCTCAGCACCTGCCCCCCCCCCCTTTCACCCATTCATGAGTTCACATGAACCCTTTTCACTTTCAACAGACAGGCATATCACAATATATTAATGGAATTTTGTCTATGTACTGTAGTGATTTGAAGGACGTGTCAGATATTTTTGCTCAGCAACTCCCACCCAACCCCAAGTTTACGTTAACCCTTTTCACTTTGAACATACATAAAAGTGACTGGATCTAATTAAGTTATCCTTTTACAAAATGATAATATTCCAGTTACTACAAATATATGTGGAGGTGTTCACAAAGCGATTGAAGAAAACACCAGTATCATTCACCGAATTTCAATTTCTTTATCAAACAAAGTTTTATTTTACAAATGATTTTGGTTTTAATTCATGAAAAATCTATAAAATATGACCTCTTATGACATTTGACCCATTATCAATAAACCTAGCTTGACTTATTGTCATGCATTCATGCCTTATGAAATGAATTGTCCCATCCCTTACCTTCATAAAGATATATAACGTATTGATGTATCTTTAATCATATTGATATGGCAAGCATTTTCTCTCTGTTACTACCCTCACTTTCAAAGAGGTTACATTTGGACCCTAATTAGGTTCACATTCATTTTCATAGTTTTCTCAATTAAGACAGCTAAGGCTCCACTTTTTTAATTAGCATTAGTCTAAACCATGTTTACTAGTACAAATAATTCACAAAATACTATTTTCTTACTCAAACAATAATTTTCCAAGCAATTTGGTTTTAATTTATGAAAAATCCCCCAAAATGACCTCCTGTGACCCATTATCAATGACCCTTGATCATGCATTCATAATTTGAAATAAAATGTTCCACCTCTTACCTCCATAGTGATATACACTGTATTGATATTTCTGTTACCATATAGATATTAAGTAAGCTTTTCCCCCTACCCTCATCTGAAAACAGTCCTAATTGGTGCTGTAAGAGTGGGGTTTTATAAGGTATAAGCACACAAAAAGCTACCAGTATGAGAAAGCTATTACACTTATTTGGACACACAGGAGACAGGCCTACTAAAAATCACTATTCTTCTTCTTCCCTTTTATGTACCATATAAGTGACTGGGCTCATGGACCAAAACATGCCTATTAGTGTACACAGCACTGAGGGATGCTATACAGCTATACATATAAAGATGTGGGTGCTTTTCTTGAAAAACCTAGGTTTGAGTAATCCAAACTAGAGGGAATAATCTAAAAATATAACACTCAAATCGAAAGACTTAAAACAATAACCTTCATCAAAACAGCCAATGATCAAGGAAATACCTACTCATCATACTCAAGCTAGCATAATCATGCAACCTATAAGGAAATATTATATGTAGTTAAAGTTTCACTGTAAATTACAATTTAATTATTTATACCAGGAAAGTGACATATATACTACTATTTCACAACTGGTCATCATAGTAGCATTTAGTATTTCTCATACATAATACATGTGAAGAACTACTTATGTTTGGGGCAAACTATAGTGCTATATGATCGAAGTATCAAAATTTGAGTTGGTTGACAATATATTGAAGTTTGAATGGTTTGAAAACACATGCCTCAGTTACATCATGGGCCACTAAGTGCCACAGTTTTTCTTTGCTTTAAAACATATGTATCAGACATTATTGGTAATGCTGGTATGATTTGTAAAATCCCAAAATACTATGAACTGGTATCCTTTCTGGTTTACGAAAGGCAATATGTGACTAACAAATTGAAAGGCCTTACTAAGTAATAAAAATTTAAAATAAAAAAGAAAAGGTGTGTAGATGTACAATTGTCAAAATGATGAGGCAGTTGCATAAAAACGTTGCCAGCTGTCATCCATCAACTACTAGTATACTGAAAACTGATCAGGTTACAATTTAATAAAGCCTAGGTCCCAACCAAATGTATGGGCTGCTACGTGTGGTCTACGGCCAAAAAAATGGGAAAACGTGGGAGTTCGTGCGCGAGCAGCACGTCCATCATGCGATTTTTGGAGCCGAGGATGCAAACAGCAGGTAGAAACTTTTCACCAATCACTTGAATTCTTCCCTGCGATCTAGCTATGTCCTAGCCGGATGCAAGGAACAAAAACCGTGCATCCAAAATGTAGTTGGGACTTAGGCTTAATTATGTGATGCTTCATGCTGATGTCAATGAATTTTGATTTACATGTACCATACATGTACATGCAGTTTTTATATTATAGCTCATACAAGGAATAATAGCCACTGTGTTATGCTCATCATGCAGTCTTGTATACAGCAATCAGGGTATATAGTAAGTCCCTTAACATAAAATGTTTGATGTTACTGCAGGCCAGCTATAATAGACATATAAATTCACAGCAATATATGGTCCTGAATAGTGCAAAATAATCCAGGGCGTATGATGTCATAACATAATTCTTTGCACATAATTTTTTTTCTTATAAAGGGGTATCAACATGCTGAAAGCAATTGATACACTTTTCATTAGTGGTTAAATATATCAAAAAAGTGGGTTTTTGTTTTATTTTCTGAATTAATCAATCTAGCCTAATCTTATTTTAATCATTTTGTAAGCTATAATACTAGGAGGAAAATTAAAGCACTGCCAGTTGTACAATTCATTATTGCAAGCAATTGAGCAAAGCATGGAACTGAGACAAGTAGCAGATTGGAAAGGGTTAACGGGTTGACCAACACTACATATTTCAATAATAAACCACCAAAACTGAGTATGAAGGTTTAAATCCCCAAGGTAAACTGATGAACTTCACAGCTTAGAGATACTACTGCGCATGCGTCAAGGTATCAGAATCTCCTCCGAGTGAGAATTAATTACAGCTTTGGAAGTAACTCACTCACGCTGCCAGTAATTATGCCACAGGGTATCCAGGGTACAGACCGTGATCACAAGATACCGAAAATAGATTTTAGAAAATAGATTTTCCATGTGAATGGAGCCTAACTCTAAGGTAATTTTATGTGAACATAAGATTAATACATTGTTTACTTGGACTTCCTCTGTGAAATTATTATGAGCTACCTTTTCACATAAAATTACCTTAGAGTTAGCCAACGAAAACCCGGCAAGTTATTGACTGCGGGTGTAAATTGTAGATTCTCTCATTGTATTTCAATGGGCTGGAAAAAACGTGATTAAAACTAATAAAAAAGACCACAGGTAATTACAAAAGCATTTCATTTCAATAGCTTTGACATAGATGAACAAGAAAATGTAAAAAAAAATGTTTGAAAAATGAAAGTTACAGAAAGTTACAGGGTGGGGGGGGGGTATACCACAAAAGATTTTCAGACATCAATATACCATCAACAAAATAAAAGGCGACCAGGATCTCTTTTGTATTTTACCTCCCTAGCATACAGGTTTACTAATCATTAAGGACCTCTATTAGTAGGTAAATGACTTTGAAAATATCAATGCTCAATTTTTTTTTGGGGGGGGGGGAATGCAGGTATCTTTTTTTTGTTTGAATGTCTTGAGGAGTCAGTCAATATTGACCAACAAAATACATCAGTCACATAGCTATTTTGTAAATATATAACTTAAGAAGGGGGAAATTATTACATACGAGTTGCATGTCTGCTGACCGAAAATCTGCTTCAAAAACTAAAAAAAAAAAACCCGAAAATTAGGTATACATCCCTTAAAATCGGTGCAGGCAAGAAAAGGGATGTAGCCTCTACAGTTAGGTTTGGCCATTCTGACCAGCACTCTCACCAAATTTAGACGATTTGACAAAATTTTCAAAAAAAAGAAGACCGAAAATCCAGAAATCTGGAACACTTTCGTGCACCCACGTATCATATATAAGATAAAATGTTCCAAAAACTGACAAAAAATGACATAATTTTGCTATCCCCATGTCTTTGCAAGACTTACCTTTTCATCGGCATGGTATGGCATAATATCTCTGCACACTTTCACACCTGCTGCATGGAATATATAATTTAGAAAGTATGTAGACTGGACACCGCCTGCTTGTAACTCTTTGCAATTCAGGCGTTCAATGGTCAGCTGTTCCAACATCAATGGACACCCACTGCACATAAAAATTCCTTAAACTCGAGTATTTCACTTGACATAATGTACCAGGCTGAAACTAATTTAGCGTGTTTGAAAAACAATCTAGATTTAGACACTAAAAATACAAGCTGCTTCTACAACAGAGAGCAGACGACAAACATGTTGCATCTATGCAAGAAAAGCCCAACAACCTCTCTCAAAACGCAGCAGTGAGTGTAAGTTAAACGTTAGATCTATATTTTAACAAGTACGATGTATAATAACTTTAATAGATCTATGTATAAAAAGGTTATCATAAACACTTAAAGTAAAAGAATAGACGCTTCTTTTTCGTATTTGAAAGAGTTTCGTACTCTTCAGAAGTGATCTGGGACTATCTGGGATCGAAAAACTAGCGAGACACTAGCGGGAGTTTTGAAACAAAGAGGGACTGTATGAAACAAAGAGAGCCTGCAGTGAGTAGAGGGAGAGAGAAAACCGGCGATACTAGTACTGTAGTGTTATACAATAGAGTGGGATTTCTAGACATCAGAGGTATGAGATATTATATTATTTAGCTATATTACAGGGCCATTTATTCTGCAATTCGAATTACAGACAGATGAATCTGGCAGTTAATAATCTCTCTTTTATTCAAGTTTAATATTGAATATTAACCGCTAACAAAGACATTTTCGGATATTCCATGTTTTCAA